AAGGTTCTAAAAATAACCAATATGTTAATTTGTTAAGYGAACAGAAATTTAGTGACAATTTTATATAAAAACTTGAGCAAATTCAATTCCTGCATCTTTACTATCCTGCCTGTTAAGTCAACAAAACACAGTCAACCGCCTCTTGTTTCACTGTCACAGCACACTTCCAGTGTTCCAAACAGCAACATATACAAGAGTGTGAACACCAGCTGCAAGTGTCCMTGGAACAACAGGAAACAGCTTGAGCTGAGAGGAGCTTGTGCCTTTTGCCATAGAAAGACACTGATTTAAAAAGACTTTTTTAAAATTAAGAAACAGACCATAGCATTTCTGTAAGCATTCCCAAACAGCTAATATGAAACCTGTCATAAAGAGAATGATTTCTAGGGACCCAAGGTCATGAATCAACCCACTAGGTTCATCTAGAGGAGATAATCCTGTCAGGAATGGTAGCATCCCTGAGGGGTGATAACAAAGCTGTTGACATTCGGATATGGCCCAAAGCATGCCCTGTAAGGTACCGAAGCAGTTGCTGGGASTATGGCTTCTGTCCTGGAAGCCCTCAACTTGATGTGGGAGAAGTGTGGGGAACAAATTCACTAGCTGGATAAACTCCAGAACCAGAACTGCCTTGCAAAGTTTGAGTGAAAATAGTCATGGGATTAATYATACAGAAGTATTTCTAAAACTGTCTCCAACCATGGGTTTCATAGGCATCCTTCACAGTGCTATCCTCTGACACTCCATTACATCAAGCATTTTCCCCAGACCAAAAAGGTAGGTAGTTACAGTTACAGTTACAGTTTCTTCATTGTTAACTGTAAACAAGCTTGAATGCTTCCACCTTGTGCAGTACACTGTCCTGTTCATTTGTGTCTCAAAGTCAGTAACATTTCAAGTATTGGTATTTAAAATATGTACTTATTCAAAGCAACTACAAGTCAAAACTGGAAGGAAAACACAAAACGATGCTGTCCCTTAAACCAACATGATCTGTTTAAGACAAGTCTATGAATACTCATATAAAATATAGTMATAAAGTAACATTCCTGAATGTCTGGCAAGATGCATCATGTTCTACAGTTACAGATTTTTCAGGATATTAAAATTTGTTTTGCTATAAATAAAGCAATCTTAAAAAGGATTGTAATAACAGGATCTAACTACGGCCTGCTTCATACTATTTGTTCCACAGMATGAGCTTGGACTGCTTGTAAAAATCTTCTTTCAAAAAATCTCAAAAGTTCCATGTTGATAAATGTACCTTTGCCCAAATCCAAGAGCTRCATAAATATGAGCCAAGATGAATCTGTTTAAAAAGAAAACTGAAGGAATTTCAGTTAAGTCCATACTGTCTTATTTGTGAAAATATCTTTTTAATTATTCCTCATGATGCYTAACTGTTTTTTTCACTTGGTTAAAGACATTCTTCTTTAACTCAGAAAACAGTATTTTAAGGGTTTTTTAAACTTTAACATTTATTCCAATTGCATTTCTAATAATGTGAGTCTCTTAGACATTCGAAAAGACATCCATTACTTGTTATATCCCGCTAAAACTATAMAACAAAATTTTATTTGGATAGAAGYRGCAGTTAGCTGGTTAATAAGAATGAGACTGATATTTTTTTAAGTACAAAGTATTTACATTTGTGGCACGCAACAGGCACTGTGAAAAATGCAAACTTTTTTGTGACAATAAACAAKGAAATCAACCTCATATCAACAGCTCGCCCCTACTTGTTTGAATACATTTTTGGCTTTAAGATTAATTTTRGTTATTTTACTTTGTCCTCYCTCCCCATGCAAAGCAACAAARAAGTATGTATCCAATTTCATGGAATAATTGAAAAACACATCACAATGCATAAAGGGTTTATTYTATCCCTGCAATCTGGATTTCTAGACCAGGGAAGCCACCTGCTGACATTCACAAGCATTAATTGACAGTGTTTATCCTTACCAACTCTGTCTCAAAATTAACAGTCAATTTCATAAATTTGTCTGTATGTGCTGCCATTGAACACACCAAAAGTCCTGGGCTTGGGGTGGTGGTGTTTTAAATCCAAAAATCTTTTTCCTGAAGCCATTAAATCCTACTTATTGTCTCCCARCACACGTACAGCTGCCATTATAAACTGTTCCGTCTTCATGGCTTTTGCTGAAGTACAATTTTACGCATACTTGATTAGACATCTTCCATGTTAACAGTACAATAAGCACACCTATATCAAGAGTGTAGATAAAGAAATTTTGAGTACTTTAATCTAAAATTGTGATATACAAGTATCTGAACAAAGTAATTCTTGGTTTTGACTTCAGCTAAAACAAAATGCAAGAAACTCAACCTGCATAAGGTTTTGAAGAAAACAAAAGCATAGTACAATAACACTGCAGAGAAATACMGAACCTATGGCTTGATTTGTATTAAATAAACTGCAAATGAAAAATTGAAAGAACTATGGAAGTGAATGTTAACACTTACAGCTAGTCATATTTCCTACAGATACTTTTCCATGGCTTTTTTAATATTTACTATCGCATAGTGAATTCCAAAGGCCTACTGACATACATTCGCTGTACTGAATGAGTTAGAATTGTAGTGTTCACTGTAGCATACACCACAGTGAATGAGTTGTAACTAAAGTACAAGAAAAAGTTTCAGTKTAGATATTATCTGGGAATTATATTCAGCAAGCATCTAAAATATTTTTAAGGAGGCATTAGATTTCTAACCCTTATTCTATTAAAAAAAATAGCTGTCATTTATATAGCTGTCTCTTATTTTGGGAAGCAAAGTAATGAATTTAACAGATTGCACTTGCAATGGATTCCCAGCAATATGGTCTGTCTGAAGATTCACATAGTCACATTTGTRGAAATGTTTGTACATTGAAAGTATCTAGGAAATGCCATTTCTTTTGCAGTTGTGTTTTTAGCATAAAATTTAATTTAAAATTTAAATAAACATAAGGAAATTCTTCATGATGCTACAATTCAATACAGTAATATTTTAACAAATACTTGTGCAATTTCTCTCCCAATGGTTCCTTTAGGCAAAGGAAACTAACTAATGTTTTCTAACTTAACTTTTAYATCACATAACAAAAGTTAGCAAAAYATTGCAATATTTAAGCTGTAGCCACTGGAAAAAAGTATTAAATAAAAATGGTGTATAATGTTTGGTTGTTTTTAGAAAGCTTCAAGAACATGTTCCAACTGGTACTAGAGAGGTTTTGCAACATAATTATTTACAAAAATTTATACAGCCTGGTTTTGTTCAAAACAATATTATCTTAAAATTTAAAATTTTCAGTGCAACAGTCTGGYTGCCAGACATAGCACCTGGTTAATCACACAGCACCTTTTTGTGGAGTTTKTCTTTACTTTTCAATCAAAGCCCTGTCCTTGCCCAAAATTGTCTCTATWTCAATCTGCATAGTCAAGCTGACAACGAAAACCTTTAAAATTAGTTTTAMAAAGCATTCATGACATGAATGAAACTATGCACTGCTATTTTATTGATATTTGAGTGAAATTGTGTTATCAAGATGAAATGGGCGGATAAAAGAAGCCATCTCAACACACTGAATAGGAATTTTCTCCAGTGCCTAGTTAAACAGTGCTACTGTTAAACACCTCACAGAGCAAACTTTGCAAACAAACAGCAAGTAGAACCATTTAAAGATACCTCTGACTGCAAGGCCAGATCTGAAAAAGAGGACAATAAAAAAGAATTTTATATTGTTTTTTGTTTCTCTTCAGTATTTAATCATTATGTTGCGATTTTAAGATAAATGAGTCAAAGCTAGCACTGATGTATAATGCTCTTGTATAATTTCACTGGAGAAGGAATCAGTACCAACAAACCTGACAAATCTCCAAGCACACATTCTGAAAACAGCCTTAGAAAGAGTCATTGAGAGTGGTTTGTAGATTTACATATAGTAGCTTTAGGCAGATTTCTGAGCTAGAAAACAAAATTATTCTGGAGAGATACTTTAGCCTAAAGAGTACTATCCTAATGCTTCTACAGGACAAGGATCTGGAGTGAAGTGATTTACACATTTTACATTCTAGCTATTAATTTTATAARTAATACATTTAGGAMTATAAAGGAAATAAATATTTAMRGGAAGTAACRAGTAGTAAGATGCAGACAAGTCAAATAATCATTTTAACCCAGAGATAATTGGTCYATGGAGATTCAGGAGGTTTAAAAGGTTGAACAACTTAGTAATTGAACCTGCACAAAACTTTTACATAAAAAAGTATCAAAATCTGTGATCACTCTGAAACTCCAAAAATACCTACCAATGAAACACCTTATCTCATACAGCTAACTATAGCAGACATCCTTTAGTGCTTCAAAACTTTCCATTCTCAAAAGAACTAAGCACTCATTTCAATTATGACTTGCTACTTACTGATTAAAAAGTACTAATATTTATTTTCCTGATCAGTTTTATATTTATTTAAAAGATTTTTACAAAGGAAGAACACTGAAAAAAGATTCAGTGCTGACTCAATCCTCTCTCCCTTTTTGACAGCGAAACGTGCTCAAATACTAAAATAAGAAATTTAGTTTTACCAGAACCTATTAGAAAATCTTGCATAAATCCTTCTGCAAAAACATCCACTGGTGATGATCCACTATAAAACAAATAAAAAAAACCTGCCACATTTAGTAACTCCTCCAAAAGGGACAGGCATATTTTCAGGTAACTTCAGTGGCTTTTCAGCTTTATTCATTTGAGCTGGCTTACCAGCCTCCTTTATAATGTCATTTTGACACGGACTCTGTCACCACAAGTTACCTGAAAGCTGACTTTTATGCTAATACACCAAGATCATTACTATAACATTTCAAGAAAAGTGTGATACAGAAAAGTTTTTAAATTGATACTCCAAAGAGAATGATTTTTTKTACATACAAAGACACTCAGTAATGCTCCATGAAAAAGAAAGAGCYTAATAAAGCAAATGTCCAGTTAAACTGACCTTTTGGAGTTTTCTAGCTTTTCTGAAGCCCCCAGTGTGCTTATTCTTTCATTCGTTAAAAACTTTGCAAGAGCCATCAGTAGCATGACATTCTGAGACTTCCTTTTCATCACCTAGAAACCAAATTTAGAAACTTGAAATGAAAAATGCAATTTTATGAAATGAAACTGCCACCAATTATTTTATCATAGCACAGTGCTATGTACACTTAGGATACTGCTTAATAATTTGTACCAGTGATTTTTTCACTGTATTTCAGTTAGGGAAAAGGGATGATACTCAAGCATCTGACTTCATCTTTCAGTATCAAACCAGTTGTAAATGAAAACCATATATTAAYTACAAGTAGAAAATCTGCTAAATTCTTTCTATTTGTTACAAAATGTGCAATTTCTCTGCATTAGAGATATCTCAGTATGAAGCATCAGTGGCTAATTTCTCTTTCTTATTGAAACATCAATGCTTTTTGTACACACTTTGTTTACATAAAACGACCTGAAGGTCTGAAATTTGTTTTCAAATACTTTGCAAACAAATCTAGCAAGCTGATACTGCACACATGCAGGCATATCAGACCTATTATTTATGAAAAGACACCATCCTTAAGAATTCACTCTGTCAAAAAGCAGTGTTTTTCATTATGCATTTTATGAATTACAGAATTACGTATTTAATTCTTCAGCACTGTCAGTATGACTCTTATAAGAATTAAATAACAAACTTCTGAATCATTTGAGAAATTAGTTTGCCTGCCTAAGATGAAAAATTGATCTATCTTTTAAACAATTAAGTTTTAATTACCCAAAATTTAAGATGATTTTTCCCAAATGCCATTCAATAAAGTCTACATTAGAGCATTTGTGAATTTTTCACTTCAAAGAAATTGATGAAGTCAGTTAAAGGAAGTTTAATTCATGATTAAAGTGGCCTAAATTTAGGTCCTGCTAACTAAGTTTCTTTGATTACTTTTGGAAAATACTGACGATAACTATCCCTATTTAGTATGCATATATAACTAAGAATAATTTGTTTTTCCTCCGTCAGCTACATAAATGAGGTGACAAAAACAACATCAAATTACAATCCATTACTGATTACTCATTTTAAAATTATAATCTCTAAACTAGTCAAAATTTAGTACAGTAATTTGTGTGTAATAAACATAAACCTGGGTTTCAGGTAAAATTGTTGATTTAAATTMATATTTAAGTACATAGTAATATGTAACAAAGAGATAACTAATAACTATGTTGATTTTATTTAGTGTTGTTTTAAGACCCAGAATTTTTAATCACTGAGGAAGACTGTTGGCAAGTAGAAGAGAACTTCTTGCCACACAATAAAGAAAAAAAACCCTACCTATTTTTATGTGAAAACCAGAACTTTTAAAGATGTATTTCGAATCCTAAAAAAAGTAACRACCACAGGACTGCATAAGATGTAAGGAGGTCATGTATTCCACTGCTTTACCCAAAGTAGTCTCTGTTAAATTCCATGAAGTTACTTCAGGTACTGTAAAAGGAAAGT